TCTTGCTAAGTGGTAGTCAACCCTTTGCAATCCATATTAAGCTCGATGTTTGAAACAACATTTTTGCTAGTAAAAAAGAACACATTTCAAAACAAATCTTGTCAAATTACCAAATAATCATTTTCTCCTTGTTTATTGAGTTTTCCTTGATTACTATTTTGGTTATATTTTCCATGTAGCCAAAATAAAATAAAATAAAATAAAATAATCCACAAATAAACTGAATCAAGTCCGTTGGGATAATAAGGCAACGTCGTTGTCGAACTGAATGGATAAAATATAGACTCGAAAATCAGTGAATCAGTGAATCCATTTGATTATATCGAGATGGATTTTATTAAATTATTTATTATAAATCATAATTAATAAATAAAAAAATAAAAAAAGGAATTTCCCAATTCTCAAACTCACACCAGCTTTGTTTACTTTGTTTTCTTTCACTCAACTCAGTCATGTCTCCATCTTCATCTCCTCAGATTCTGCTCCCCTTTTCATCATTTTCTTTCCAGTCCCTCCACTACTTTTATTTTTCCTTGCAACCCCCCAAACTCCCCTTAAATTTCCCCCAAACTCCCCTTAAATTTCCCCCAAACTCCCCTTAAATTTCCCCCTCTGCCCCCTCTGCAGTAAACTTGCTAGACTCACAGCTAAGAGCTATCCTACACTCTCTGTAAAAACCAGCTGTCTATCCCCGTCTGTCACCTTTTACTTTCCTCACAGCCATCCTATATTAATTAGCTCCACTTTAAATTTTTAATTAATCAGTTAATTTCTTCAACCAAAAAAAATACTTATAGTTTGACACAACTTGAAAAATTATTTGTGGGTTATAATTCATAAAATTTTATAAAATCATAAAAAAGTTAACTATTAAATTATAAGTTTAATGAATAATTTATTTTTTTGGTCAAGTGTCTACTCCTATTTGACTTCACAGTTAAAACTAGCTGTCTATTCCACTATCATGCACGTGCCAGCATGTGATTACTTGGGGAAATTAAACCTTTTTTTTTTTTAATACTTTTAAACTAATAAAAGAAAAATAGACAGAAAATATTACATTCACAAGTTACAAATTTGATACTACGCAGACAGCAAATTCCATTCATTCAGTTTATTTAATCCAAAATATCTTTCTCTTCATCTGTACGTACTGTGAGAAAGTAGGAATCCACTGCGGTTATACGCACCTGGTTTATGGTGAGGCCTCATGATTCGCCGTTGATCTTGAGCCACTCATCCAACTGCATTTGATAAAGTGAATGATTATTCATGCCACCGGAAAATGAAATTACTGTTTGAAGTTTGTTATGATTCTAACTGCTTAGAAATGGTAAAAAAATTGGCCGGAAAATATGGAAGCGTGATTTGATTGACTGTCAAACTGACCGGAAAATGAGTAACGAAAAACTGGTAGGATTTGTTTCTCTGTCTTAGCTTCTGACGGCCAACAGTGAAGGAATCGCGTTCAAATTCGGCGTGGGATTGTTCTCTGAAGCTTGTCTGATTATGGACCGTTTTCGATCTTTTGAATTTGAGGGCTTGAATGCTCTCATCGGACTAGCAAATGCCCATGTCAAGGTCCTGCTCCAGCCACTGCTTATTAGCGGCCCCGCTGCCGCTGCTGCCGGAGTTGGTTTCCTGCTGAGGTCGTCGGCGGAGGATGAAGCTACGTACGATGAGGAAGATGAAGAGGAAGAAGATGAAGTCATCATGAATCCACTGAATAAACCGCCGCATTTTACTCTCTCTTTGATACAGTGGTGTTCGACGCCGGCGCTGTTGCGGTGGCTGGTGTTTCCACCGGTAGAAACTTTCGACGACTTGCTTTCTCTCTGAGACTCGACTCGCCGGAGAGTACAATCGCCGAAACCAGTAGAGATTCTCTCGAAGAAGTCGCCGGAAAAGCTCCGGCTACCGCAGCCGACGGACCTGGATCTAGAAACCTTCCGTTCAAACGACGTCGTATGGCTGTTAGGGCTCTCGTCTTCCTCTAAAATGGTGCTGTTTGCCCCCAAATTACCACCAGTGCCCTTATTGTTATTACTCTCCATTTTCCTCGGCGCATGAGATTTGGACGACGACGGCGCGTGGTAATGGAGAAATGACCAAAAACCCCCTCGCTTCCTAGAGCTAAAATCGCCGCAGTCGTCGCCGTCAACCAGAAACTGCCCCCTCCTCGGCGCCGTCGTCGACTTACTCCTCTTAAAAACGACGTCGTTATTTGGATTATACTCCGCACCAACAGTAACCACTTTCTTCTTCTTTTTAGCTAACAAAAAAGGGATTCGGGCCCGCCGCGTATCATGATAATGACAAACAACGCCATTAACGTTGAAATTGACAGTTTTCGAAGCACAGCCGCCGATCGAAATCGCATTTGACGACGAGGACGATGACAACGGAGCACCGCCGCCGCCGCCGCTTCCGGCATGAACATTACTCTCAGATCCAATCGAAGGAGAAGACGGAGAAGAAGACGAACCGCGAATCGGAAGAGGAAGAGAAGACGACACCAGCTTACCGAGCTTCTCCTGAAGACAAATGGCGCAGATTCCTCCAGGATTGCTCCGGTAAGGATGGTCGCTGCATTGCATCCCGTCGGTCATATCATCATCCAAGCCAACGCCAACCTTGCCGTCGGCGGCAGGAAGTGGAGCCGTGATGGCGTCGATCCTCATCATAGTTAATCGAATGAAATTGGCCGTAAAAAACGTCTCAGAAGTGAAGTTGCAGAGAGAAAGAACTCTTGATGAAGAAGAAGAAGAAGAGAGAAATGCATTGAAGTAAGGGAGAAATGTGGGGATGAGACTGCAAACGAATTGACCAGAGATTTCACAGTAGCACGTGGAATACTGACTCTTCTCCATGCCTTTTTTTTTTTCTTTTCTTTTTCTTTTTTATTTCCATTTTCGATGCGATAATAATTATTTATATATATATATATATATAAATAATTTTCTTTTCTATTTTCGATATGATAATAATTAATAAATATGGATGCGCTTTTTTTCTTTTTCTTTTTTTCCTATGTTTTTTTAACCAATCAAATTTAAAACCTTCATTTTTATTAATTTTGATCAAATTAATAAAAAAAAATCATTTTTTAATTAAAAATATAGAGACTAAATTTATGGTTGAAATATTATTGAATTAAAAATGGAAATTTTGGAAATAAATTAATAATATAAAAATGGAATTAATAAATTAATAAATAAAAACATGTTTCTGATTCCGACCGGTGAAGTGTAAAGAATGTTAAATTTAAAAAAATTTGTTAAAGGAGAAATCGTGCAAAGCCAAAAAGGGAGGTAATTAAAAATATTTGCACACTTCTGCTACGTTTCTCCCAAAGCCCCAGCAGCCAATTTTCCCTTTTCATTTTTTAATTCCTACGTGTCCATTTTTTATTGCTTATCTTTTAGATCCAATTTATTAATGGGACCACGCCCCCCAAACCTCTCCACGTGTCACCTGTTTTTGTTTTTATTAGTAATGTGAATCAAATAATTTGTTTCTTTTTTCCCCTTTATTTCGTGCCGTTGGCTTATATTAATATTTCCACCGTTTCCCTCTCTATTTTTTGTTTATATTTTTTTTTTCCTTTTATCATTTATTTTATTAATAACAATTTGCATTATTTTCATAGTTCAGGAGAATATTTATTATGCATAAATTCATGTTTACACTTTACTAAACGTACAAATTATACAAATTGGACTAACTAAAATTTTTTAATATGTGACAAATTATTTATAGTGCCACTCACTCAATTTCTAATTTTTGAAGCTATATGAACAAAATTTTATTTTATTTTTAAATTATAAGAATAAAATTCGTAATTTAATATAATAAACCCATATCTCAGATTTTATATATATACTCGCATGTATATAGAGTAACTTGTTTAAGCCACGTAGTTTCATAATCTGGTAGAAAGCTGACATCATGTCTCTTCCTATGTAGGAACTATGTGGTTTCATAAGGGTAGAAAGCTGACATCATGTCTCTCCCTAAGGTTTCAGAATGGTAGAAAGTTGACATCATGTCTCTCCCTACATGGAGCTATGTGGTTTCAGAAGGGTAAAAAGTTGACATCATGTCTCTCCCCCTATGTGGTTAGCTGACATCATGTCTCCCCTATTTGGAACTTATGCCGTAAATGGTTTAGCAATGACATGAGAAAGTCATATACTCTAAAGAATCGAATGGATAGATGTTCGAAATGTCCCAATAAAATGATTGACACATGAGTCAGTTCTAAATGGATGGGTACGATAAAACTATATAAATTTGAAAATTTTCAACTTAAAAACAATCTCTATATTCTTAGGAGTGTAGTTGTGGCCCATGTCATGTAGATGGGCAATTAATTATAAAAATGGAAGCAAAAAAAAAACACTAATTTTTCAACCCTCACGCTTTCCCAATTAATACGAAGGAAGCAAGATAAATAATATAAAAGGTAATTATTATTTTTTCTGGGAATTTGATTCCTGATGCTCTCATTTCCACCGTTGGATCACCACAGCATCGAGATTTTCATCAGATTCCTTTAATCCACCCCCTTCTTCTGTGGAGCGTGGTGCCCCTCCACTTCTAAGCTTTGGTTGGATTATTTATTTATTTATTTATTTGAATCATTTCATTTTTTTACAAGGTAAAATGTACCTACCATACCCTAATCTTAATTATTATCATTTAAATTAACTAATTACTTTATATATTTATAAATTATTTTAAATATTATATTATATTTTTTTGGGTAGAATATTACTGATTTTAATTTTTAATAGGAAATATATTGATAAATGGAAATTATGTATTAAAAAATTGTTTAATTTTAATATATTTATTTCGGACGATAATTGGGCCACCAATGAATCTTAACAGGCCCAAAGTAGAAGAGAGAAGAAGCTTAAAAGCCGGCCCATATACTGTGGGTGCGGCCTCACATATTTTAATGGGCCTAGTTTAGTCGTGTCATTAATGCTCGCAGAAGTCAGTTCCCGTTGCTTCAGCTCTGACGGAGTGCATATCGTAATCGTTGCTCTGTCAGAGAAATGATCGTTATCTGGCCAGAGAGGGTCAAGAAGATACCAGGCCGCGCCTTGGAGATGGCGCCAGTAGAGCTACAGTCATTGAAGAAGCATAAGCTTCAAAATCTCTCAAAAGAGCCCTGGACTTCTTCTCTCCGGCTCACGGCCATGTCGCTCCTCCTGATCATGAGAGGTATGTTTGCTTATGGTTTTAGTTCGCTAATCAGATCTGCAGTTTTGTAAGTTTACTGTAGAAGTTCTTTGTGCGTGCTTGTGTTTTTTTCTTCGTTTGATTTTTGCTTTGTCAAATGTTTATTTGTTCATCTCATTTCTGAATGCAGTAAAAAAATTCTGATCAGTTATTGCTTACATGATTTGAGCCATTGAATATGAGCAGCGTTTGGAATATTTTTCTGTTCTTTTAATCTAAAATGAAAATGATCTTTTATTATTTGTATATCAATTGATAGAGAAGTTCGGATCAGTCTTGCTTAGTAATCAGCCTACTTGTATACTGGCTACACTCCTACACTAGGTGCATAACCCCTCAGGTCATAGTGGTCTAGGTTGTACTTAGCTTGTTTTTTACATTTTCCAAAGTTTAACCTATGATGGGCTCGCGAGTAAGTCTCTTGTGTATGAGGTAATTTGTGCACTATATGCAGACTAGCACTATAATGGGCTCGCGAGTAAGTCTAGCGTGTATGAGGTAACCTGTGCGACTAGTACTATGACAGCCTGCACCCCATACTAACTGTCTACCAGGTGTACGACTCCTAGGCGTCTCCTGTGTGTAACAACTAACCACTGTGTACCAAATAGACCCTCATACTAGGAAAGTTTACAACTTGGGGTTGCGCCCCAATTGCCCCTACTTCGATGCCTTATCTTTGCTTATTACATATCATTTTGTATTCATATCTTTTTTTTTTTTATTTTAGTTGTGGATATTGGTCTTTATTACAGAATCATGATATTGTTTATTTTAAAACAAACATAGGAAATTCCCTCTTTTCTTTGTTTTGAGGATGAGTTGTAATTGAAAGGAAAATTTTCACTTAGTTGATCTGTGTATTTTGGATCAATGCTCCTGCATTTTTTTTTCTGCCATTTATATACTGTACTATCATGAGTTTGAAAAAATGTCAGGTTTTTTCTTACCACCAAAAATTTGTGAATTTTATTGGTTAATGATTATGTAAATAATTTATAGTCAAGTGATTTTGATGGATATTGTGCTAATCGTTCATCTTGGGTGGAATGTTTGAATCACATTAGTTTTATTTTACTTTTTATAGATGGAAAACAATAGTGCAAATGGATATGAAACTCCTTATTATGGCTCTAGTTCTAGTAATTATAACACATCAAAGCTACCATGGTCCGCAAAATCTAAATTTAGAAAAAAGAAGTTTAGTAAATTAAGAGATCATTTTACAAGTTACAAGATTAGAGAACAATAATAACATAGAGAAAAATAATACGAGGTAGTACTAATATTGTTATTTAGTCAAACACTGTGCCAAGATGATAATTATGGATGAACTCTCTTTTAAATTCTAAATTCGTAGAGAATGGAGATTTCAAATTAATTTGTAGAGAACACTAATAAGAAGTGGTACTAATATTGTTGTTTAGTCAAACAACATGTAGAGCAGCATGTGCCAAGATGATAATCATGGATGAACTATCTTTTAAATTCTAAATTCGTAGAGAATGGAGATTTCAAATTAATTTGTAGTAACGCAGGTCCTAAATTGACATTTACTTGTAACCATTACTTAGAGATATATTTCAATTCTATTGGGAAGAAAAAAAAAAGAAGTTAAAAAGATTTTTTAGTTGACTATTCTGAAAGGGTTTGTTTTACCACTCCTACTCGAACTTGTTGCAAAACATTAACTACACATTAATCAGTGCATACTTTATTGATTCATCAGAGAATTTGCATAAAAGAATTCTTAACTTTTTGTTAAGTTGCTAATTATAAGAGACCAAGATTATTGAGAGTTATTTATTAGAATAGAATATCGTTAAAATTTTGTTTATCATAATAATGCATGTTTCAATGATATAGTTATTTTGTATATTTGTGAATCAGGAGCTATTTCTGTCTCAATTTTTAGGGTCTGCCATCTATTAAGAGATTAACAAAATTTAAAGGTTGTGTTGAGCAATAAAAAATTGATTTAAAGGTTGTGTTGAGCAATAAAAAATTAATTTAAAAGTTGTGTTGAGCAATAAAAAATTGAATGTAAAACACTTTTGTTTGGATGTGGCAAAGGTTGCAATGTTCGGTAATGTTTTGTTTGGATGTGGCAAAGGTTGCAGTGTTCGGTAATGTTTTGTGATATTCACAGGTTAAGTGATTCTTTGTGACTTCTAATACTTGTGTAGTGACATTGAAGACCTTCAGAAACTTTACCAACATTGCAACCTTTTTCAATCAATGGTGGGTGGCTCTTTTATTTTGTTTACATGATCTTCTTATTTAGTACTTAACATAATCTAATTCTTTTTTCTCAAATACTTTGGAGACTTTTTCAAATTTTAAGATGATCAAACATTAAATAAGTGGAATTCTATCTAGTTGCCGCGTTTAAACAAGTGCTTTACATTTCATTTTTTCTTGTTCACCACAATGTTTAAATTATGTCGATCTCTTAATAGATGATGAAACATACTTCATGCATTGGGAATACTAGAAATGAAGTCATGCATTTCTTTAAGTCACTCATTCACAATCGAGTTAATTATGTGGGCACAACAACTCCGGTGTAATATTTCTCTATTTAAGACAAGTGAATTCCAATTTCTAAGTCTTCGGAAATAGCCATGTCATTAGAACTTGAATTATCAACGGTGATAGAAAAAAATTTATTTATCCCATTTCCATAAACAACTCTTAATAATCTTATCATTGGTCTCTCCATTAGTGGTTAAAACAAAAGTTAAGAATTCTTTTATTCAAATTCCATTCTGAATCAATAAAGTTCCATTTTGAATCAATAAAGTGTGTAGGGATGACTACCATATAGTTAATGTTTTGCAACGAAGTTCATAATTAGTGGTAAGACAAACCCTCTCGAAAATACAGACTAAAAAAATCTTTAAACTTGTTTTTTTACTCTAGATAGTTGAAATATATCTCTACGGGTTATTCTTGAGCAATAGTACAAAACAATCTGAAACTCTCATCTCTGTGAATTTAAATGACAACTCGTCCATAATTATAATCTTGACACATGTTTCTCTACGTGTTTGACTAAACAAGTGAGTAACAATATTGCCATTTCCATTTGAAGGTTGAAAATTGAGAGTGATTTGTCCTTTGTCTTCCACTGTGGTTACTTCTTACACTGATTTTTTAACTATTTCCACAAAGTGCTAGTTCTACGAGAATTAGTATCACAAGCCTACTCTTTGCACTAGTACCTCTTATTATTGTCCTCTAATCCTGTAAAATGTCTCACACGGTTCCTAAATCCAGCTTATGCAGGTAATGGTGGCTGCAATATATTATAATTACTAGAGTTGTAGCCACACATCCACTTGTACTATTGTTTTCCATTTGGTAAAATGAAACTAACATGATTCAAACGTTCAACGTAATATAAATTATTTATATAGATTTTGTCGGGGGCAACTTTGTCTCTAGGTCTTGCTGTTAGCAGCAAGCATACCTACATGGTCATCTGAGTGGTGTTTACTGCTTGGCCCTTCATCCGACAATTGAGGTTAAATTACTGGGGGACGCGATTCTGTCTGCCAGGTATCCAATTTTACCAGTTAGTTTGAATTATAATTTTGTGGTATTATTCAAGTCAGGTTCTCTCGTGGTGAGCATTACAAAGTTTTGCATCGGCTTCAGCTGACAACATCAAGAAATTTAATCTCTCCAAAGGGGGGAGTTTGTGCACAATATGATGTGAGTTTCTATAGTAATTTATTATTTGCAATTTAATAATGTGCCCTTTGTAGCCTTATTTACTTCAAAAGCTAGGTCTATATGTGAGAATATATTAAAGGAGAACAAGAAACTTGTTTCTTTGGAGTGAGTCGGTGTGATCTCACATTGGTTAGAGAGGGAACAAAACATTTCTTATAAAGAGTGTGGAAACCTCTCTTAGTATATGTGTTTTAAAATCGTGAGGCTGATGGTGATACGTAACGAGCCAAAGTAGACAATATCTACTAGCGGTGGGCTTGAACTGTTATAGTAGCTATGACCCTCACTATTTTGAGTGGGTCTCGGGTCGAGCTGCCTTAGCCAAAATTCTTGGAGAGCTTGTTTCCCTCTCTTTTCTCAGTTTGTCAGGTGCCATCTTCGGGAAGGTTCGAAAGTTTGTTTTTGGGAGGTTGTTAGGTTTAATGCATCCTTGTAGGCGTCGGTCACTACTAGGCTGTTCTGTGTGATGATGTTATTTTGGTGTTCCGTGCAAAATATACGAGAGAAAGAACAATGGGTCGTGGGTCAGAGATATCAACCATCCGAAGGAGGTTAATAACTGGTCCCAGAATTTGTTTTCTCTGAACTTCTATTAAAAACAATGGCGTAGAGAATGTTTGTGAACTTTGAGGATAACAATTTAGAGGATCGAGAGATCTTCGGAGTTAGTTAGGTTTAATTCTTCTTGTTGAGTGTCCATTGAATAGACAGGGAGGTGGATTGTGAGATCCCACATCGGTTGGATAGAGAAAGGAAAACCTCTCCCTAATAAACGCGTTTTGACGATATGTAACAAGCCAAAAAGGATTTTCTCTCCCAAACAACCATGAAAGAAAAACATCTCACAATGCAACCATTATGAATGATCCAAAAGTCCCGCCCATAAAAAAGGCTCATTTCTTCTTCACACACCATTTCCATGATGAGGCTTTGTAGCAAAGTTTGTTGTTAACTTCATTCCCCAAACTATTGAAATTGTTCTTCTAAAAGGTCTCTTTCTTTCCATCTCTTCCAAATTTACTTCCATTATACAAACAATAATGTCTTTCACATCTCATTACATTTCTTTGTTAATCATCGTTTTGACGATGGCCCCGTTGAGTTCATGTCAGTTCGATTTGATCCGAACTCTTCTTGGTCTCACCCACATCCAAGGAACTCTCTATTGTACTCTCAACGGCAACATGATCTACGGACTTTTGACCCCAACTTTTCCGAGTGAGTTAAAGTCGCAGTGCTTTTTTTTTTTTTTTTTTTTTTTTTGTTGTCGTCTCTAAACATTTTGGAGTTTATTATGAGGTGTTGAAGATGCGGCGGTGGAAATGCACTGCGGAGCCGGCGGAACTGTGATTTCGTCCGTCAAATCCGATGCGACCGGCAGGTTCTCAATGCTTCTCGATGCGCCTCAACTGCTACTCTCCTTTTTACTAAACAATTGCAGTCTTGTCGTCACGACGCCGCTCGTCAATTGCAACGGCGCCATGCCGTCGTTTGGCGCCCTCGCCTCGCCGCTGCAACTCATCGGAAATACGTTTCTTGGACTCTTCAATATCACCAATATCATTCCGGTAGGGTTTCGATTCCTTCCGATTCTTTAATATTCAAGAAAAATGTTCACCATTGTTGATGTAGCTAACTAAATAAACGGAGTCCTTAACTTGTTGCGCTGTAATGATGTATGTGATGACCGAGTACTAAATCTCTACTTGGCTAATTTTTAGGTGCTTTGGTTTGTTTGTATATATATATATATATATATATATGAGTGGTAAATGTGTATTATGAAAAAATAGCAATATAATCAAATCATATATTATAAAGAGTAAAAGACATAATTTAGTTGATTTGAATATAAATTTGAAGTGTGAACATTCAATTACTATCACTAGCCGTCATCTCGTTTTCGTGCCGTTGCCGCTGCCAAATACTGTTACTAATCACGATTTTCCATAATGGTGTGATATTGTCACTAAATTAACCAATATCTACTAGTGGTGGATATGAGTTGTTACAAATGGTATCGTGGATTTGGGTTGTTATAAATGGTTTCAAACCCAAACATTGGACGATATGTTAGCTTTCTCGTTGTTCCCCGAAAGGGTAGACACGAGGCGGTGTGCTAGTAAGAATGTTGGGTCCCGAAGGGAGGTGGATTTGAGCGGTCCCACATTGATTGGAGGAAGGAAGGAGTGTCAGCGAAGACGCTGGGCTCCGAAAGGGGTGGATTGTGATGTCCCATGTTGGTTGGGGAGGAGAATAAACTACGATTTATAGAGGTGTGGAAACTTTCCCCTAGCAGATGCGTCTCGCTGGGCTCTGAAAGGGGTAGATTGTGATGTCCCATGTGCGGTTGGGGAGAAGAACAAACCACGATTTAAAGCCTCGAGGGGAAGAGAGAAAGTCCAGAGAGGACAATATATGTTAGCGGTGGGCTTGAGCCGTTACATCGTCCACTCGCACAAATCGCGATTTAAAGCCTTGTGGGGAAGAGGGAAAGTCCAGAGAGGACAATTTCTGCTAGCAGTGGGCTTTGGCCGTTACATCGTCATTTGCTAGCAGTGGGCTTGGGCCGTCACATCGTCCACTCACCACCACCAAAGTTTATTTCTCCCTTTTTGTTTCTAAAATTAAAAAAAAAAAAAAACATATTTTTTTTTATAATTTTTGCTTTCTTATTTAAAAATTCTTATCTTAAGAAACTATAGATATTAAATTTAAATCTAATTTCAAGCTAATTTTCAGTTTAAATTTAGTTTCAAATACAGACAATTATATATGTTAGGAAAATCACCGAAGACAATAACAAAACTCAATAAATTTAATCATATCGTTGTAAGAATTCTTACACAATTTTTCATTTAATATTTTAAAATTAAATCTAGTTACAGATCAATTTTTAATTTAGATATATTTTTATTTTTATACAAATTTATTAGTTAAAAATCCAATTCTATAACAGAAAATGACGAGCATATTCACGTTTTACTAATCTCTCTAACTGTATCTGAAAAATCAACGATATTGTAGCTAACTAAGTCCGAGCTCGGTGTTCATGGCGTTCTTAGGAATTCAATCTCCAGAGTGAGTCCGATACTCGTCTTTCTCCGATTTTGAAGCCGTCAATCTTCTTTTATCAGGCACGACTCTCATTCTTCCTCCTTTTCCATTTTATCCTGTAATTGATGATGCTGTATGTTCTAGCTTATCGTCATTAATATGGTTTTCTTTGATCCGGTTGCTAAATTTGATTGTGGAATTATCTTTTTCTGTAATTTATGTCTTGTCTGTCTCGAATTTGTGATCAGCATTTTTGGAGTTGTATCTGAAATTGGAGTGAAGGAAATAGCTAGTCGTAGGTTTTTTTGGCAAGATTGTGGCGGTGAGATTAGGGATGGGAATAAGGACGAAGGTTTAAGATGTATTCGCTTAGTGGAAGAAGCAATTGCATCGGGCAATAAAGAGCGAGCATTAGGATTTATTAAAATTGCGCAAGTTGATGAGCTTTTGACGGCTTGGGAAGAAATCGACTCAGGATTACCTTCTTCGTCCTCTGATGATAAACGCGCGGGAAAAGTTGAGTGTTTTTGGATCGGTGAAACGTGTGGATGGTTTGAGTGGGGAACGTAATTACACTATAGAACACGTTCAATTGGTTAGGCAGATAAACCCAACCAAGGACTATTACAGAATTCTTGGTGTGGATAAGACTAGTTCTGCTGAAGAGATTAAGAGGGCTTATAAGAAATTGTACGTGAGATCCAAATAAGGGTGTTGAAACTTCTCCCTTTTAAAAACTTTGAGCGGAATCCCAAAAAAAAAAGTTCAAAGAGGACAAATATTTGTGAGGGTGGGTCTGAGCTGTCACAAACGGTACCAGAGCCGGACACCGGGTGATGTGCCAACAAGGACACTAAGCACCAAATGGGGTAAATTTATGGAGTCTCACGTCTATTGGAGAAGGAAATGAGTGCCAACGAGGATGTTGGGCCCCGAAAGGGGTAGACATGAGGCGGTGTGCCAGCAAGGATGCTGGGTCTCGAAAGGGGAGTAGATTTGAGGGTCTCACATTTATTGGAGAAGGGAATGAATGTCGGGTCCCGAAAGGGGGTGGACACGAGGCGGTGTACCAGCAAGGACGTTGAATCTCGAAGGGGGGGAGGGGGTGGCTGAGCCCCGAAGGGGGGTGGACATGAGGCGGTGTGCTAACAATCGATTGGATAAGGGAGTAAGTGCCAACGAGGACACTGGGCCCCGAAGGGAGTGAATTGTGAGATACCACATCGGATGGGGAGGAGAACGAATCATTATTTACAAGGTGTGGAAACTCCTCCCTAACAGACGCGTTTTAAAAATCTTGAGGGAGCCCGAAAGGGAAAGCACAAAGGGACTTGCCCTTGAGGGGGAGCCCGAAAGGGAAAGCACAAAGGGAAAGCACAAAGGGACTTGCCCTTGAGGGGGAGCCCGAAAGGGAAAGCACAAAGGGAAAGCACAAAGGGACTTGCCCTTGAGGGGGAGCCCGAAAGGGAAAGCCCTTGAGGGAAAGCACAAAGGGACTTGCCCTTGAGGGAAAGCACAAAGGGACTTGCCCTTGAGGGAAAGCCCGAAAGAGAAAGCACAAAGGGACTTGCCCTTGAGGGAAAGCCCGAAAGAGAAAGCACAAAGGGACTTTCTCTTTCGGGCTAGTAGATATTGTCCTCTTGAACTTTTCGAGGCTTTAAAATGCGTCTGCTAGGAAAATATTTCCACACCTTTATAGAGAGTATTTCGTTCTCCTCTCCAACCAACGTGTTCTTATCGTCTTGCTGGAGATATTGTTCAAGTCCTGTTTCTTTTACTTCAGTTGTTAACCTTTGCTTGAATATATTGACTGCTACTTGAAGGTCGTTATTTTTCGAAATTTTGCATCTTATTTTGATCTACCCTATTCTGCCTCTCATGTATTAAGTGGTTTAGACGCAGATTGTTTAATGATCCCTGAAAAGGAAATTAATATTGCTAAACAAGTCTATGTGTTGCACTGCGTGAACCTACCATGTTTTAGTTAAATTCGATGAAAACAGTTGTTGAACCATGAAATGAACCTTAGGGGAAAATCCACAGCTAAGCTCTAATCTTCTGGATAAATCTATACCCTACTTCCTTGCACTGTGTAGAATTTAAGGTATTAGGCTGAGGGACACATTTTTAAGGAAGTCTAGATGGATGTAAGGAAAAACAAAAAACAGTTCAAAAACTCCTTAATAAGAGACGATAATATATTCGAGCACGAATGAATTGAAAATTGCTCCAACTCGGATCCTATAAAAATAAATGTCTCAATGCATTATTCATACAAGACCATACCAGGAATCTTATCTAGATTTTCAGCAGAAACACCAAACAAACTATCGACCGAGTTGATTGATCTCACATTCGGGGTTTAGCACGACCAGCCGGAGCGCTCTGCAACCAAACCACATAACATAAGAACTTATCATTGAATAGAGAAATTTGTGAATTGGGATGGCTAGTTCATTTGTGGACAAAGATGATGCCATTGTAGGCAATTCAGGAATGTTTCATATTTTATTTTAGTTTGCTGTTGGTTAATTGGTTGGTAGGCTTAACTTCTGTCATAGCAAGTAATCTTCTATTCCATATCCAATAATTGGATGCATTATGTTTTTGCCTAGAAATTTAAAAACATGTGCATTTGAGATGAGCTCTGTAAAACTAGGCTGAAGCTTCCTTACCAGAGTTGCACCCTGAGCAGCTCTTTCAGCCAAGTATTCACAAGGCCTGAAGAATCCACCGTACTGTTTCGACCATTCCTCCAACCTCGAATAGATGTATTTCGATCCAAGAGAGTCCGCCCAGAACATTAGCCCTCCCCTGCTCAAGAAGAACATAGAATCTTATCCACTAGGTTTGGGGACTCGAGAGATATATACCAAAATGAGATGAAATTAACACACCTGTAAGATGGGAAACCCATTCCCATTACACCAGCAATGTCCAGGTCTGCAGCTTTGACTGCTATGCCTTCAGCTAGGACACGACAGGCTTCATTCACCACGGGGAAGAATATCATCTCCACAATGTCCTTGTCGGATAACTTCGCCAGCTACATTCACCAAAATCTTTGTCATTCCCGTAAGTTACTTAATACTTCACTCCAAAGGTATATATTTTAAGGATTTTATCATTGGATGAACTCTAGTGATCATAAACAAGCAATGTTTATGTTCAATCGCGTGCCTCTATAAGGCCACAAAAGAAATGCTAAATCAAGAGAAGCAAGTATAGGAGAGCAACCTTAGGGTCGACTGAAACACTGGAACTGTTCCTAGCCTTCTCGATATATTTCGTTAACTCAGGATTCGGCCCAGCTTTGCGGTTCTTGTCATAGACATAGAAACCTTTACGAGTGGATTCACCTAAGGTGTTTAACGTACACAAATGATTCCCATAAGGAACGCCTCGAAATAATAGCCGAGGAAAACGTGTGAACATATCACATATTTGTTAAGTAACAAACGATGGCAAAGCTACCTGCATTCTTATCCTCTTGCATTAGAGGAATTAACATAGATTTATAAGTTCTTTCTGGAAAAGCTTGAACAAACTGACTGGCAGTTGCTACCGCCACGCCAAAACCAACAAGATCACACAACCTGAAAGAACGATACACGAGCGAGTAGGGAAAAAACAGAATTAGTGTGATTTAAGAACAGTGCAGTTGATTAGAAAACTATATTGACTATTATAA